TGAGCTATTAGGATTTTTTAATAATAACTTACAAATAAATTATATTTATATACAAATAAATGTATATCCAGTATAAATATATAAATATAAAATCTATAAATAAAAATATATTTATATATTTTAATATATATTTAAATATTAATACATTGATATAGTTAAATATTGATATATTTATATATTGATATATTTATATATTGATATATTTATATATTGATATATTGATATATTTATATATTGATATATTGATATATTTATATATTGATATATTTATATATTTATATATTTGTATCTTTATATTTTTATATATATTTATATCTTTATATATTTATATCTTTATATTTTTACATATATTTATATTTTTTCATATTTATATATTTATATATAAAGATATAAAGATATTAGTTTTGTATACAAATAATATTATAATATAGTATATTATACTATTAGTATAGTATACAAATTATATATTAGTATAGTATAGTATACAAATTATTAGTTTTGTAATTTATACACTATAAAAATAAATTACAAATATTATAACATAATGGTATATTAATATAATATAATATATTTGTATTCTAATTTTTAATTAAACTAAAATTACGCTAATAATGTATAATAATATATGAGGGGATAATATTGATATATTGATATATATATATATATATATATATATATATATATATATATATATATATTTATATAATGATATATTTATATTTATATATTTATATATTTATATTTTGATATATATATATATATATATATATATATATATATATATTTATATATTTATTTATATCCTTATACATTTATATCTTTATATATTTGAAAAAAAAATTTAATATTAAATTTTAAAAATAATATTATATTTTTAAAAATAAATATTAGAAAAAGATTTAAAAATATATATAAATTATATTTACATGTACAAAATATTAAAGATATATATTTATATCTTTACATATTTATATCTTTATATCTTTATATTTTATATATTTATATCTTTACATATATTTATATCTTTATATCTTTATATATTTACATCTTTATATATATATATATATATATATATATATATATATATATATATATATATCTTTATATATTTATAAAATCTATAGATACAAATATATTTATATATTTTAATATATATTTAAATATTGATATATTGATATATTTATATATTTATATATTTATATATTTACATATTTATATATTTATATATTTATATATTTATATACTAATATACCATTATATTATTTTCATTGTATATAAATTACAAAACTAATAATTTTTAAAAAATTTAATGATAATTTTTTTAACTTATATATTACAAAATATTTTTTAATACTTTAATAAATATAACTTTTTTTAAATATTTTCATTAATTTAAAGTATAACTTTTAATATTTTTTAGTATTTTTTTTAAATGTAGATATCTTTAATATTTTGGACATATAAATATAATTTATACATGTTTTTAAACTGTATTTAGAAACTAAAATTATTTTGGACATAAATTTATTTCTTTAAATTGAGTATTTAGAAACTAAAATTATAGTTTCTCTGTTTTAAAAAATTAAAATAAATATTTAAAAATAAAAATCAAAACTAGTATTATCTTAAATTTATTAACAGTGTAATTAAATCTCTATTTTCTTAATTTTTTTTGTTTTAAACTTCTCAATTCTACATTTTTGTAAGTTCTATCATTATATTATCATCTTCATCTCCTCCCATGTTCTACTTTATCTTTACAATAGTTAATATTCTTAAATAATTTATATTTTTAATTATAATTTTTTAATATATATTTCAGAAATTAATCAATTATAATCTATTATTTGAAAAACTAATCAATTCTAATCAATAATTTAGAAAACTAATCGATTATAATTAATTATTTAAAAAAATTATCAAATATGATCGATCATTTGAAAATGTAATCGATCAGAATAAAAAAATGTGGTTGTATATGATAGTGGTTCCACTTGGACCAGCTCTTAAAAGCGCACTTCTAATAGCGGTTAACGTGGAGCACGCTATTATATCGTTTCAATTATGATCGATCATTTCAAAATATAATCAATCATAATGAAAACTTACATTAACTATTTTTTTGAATATTATGTTTTTAAATTTGCTATTAGAGAAAACCTTTCAAAATTCAAAATGTTAAATACTTTTAAATATTAAAATTAACTTTATCAAAAATTTGGAAAAAAAAATTAATCCAAAAGAGTTCAAAAATGTATTATAATATTGTCAATTTTGAGTTTAATTATATTGTTCATTCTCAAAGTAGAAAAATATATTGTAATTTTTTTAATTTAATAAAATATAATTTAAATTTTTAATACTAAAATTAAAAGATTAAATAATAATAAATTTAATTCTTTAAATTGAGTATTTAGAAACTAAAATTATAGTTTCTCTGTTTTAAAAAATTAAAATAAATATTTAAAAATAAAAATCAAAACTAATATTATCTTAAATTTATTAATAGTGTAATTAAATCTCTATTTTCTTAATTTTTTTTGTTTTAAACTTCTCAATTCTACATTTTTGTAAGTTCTATCATTATATTATCATCCTCATCTCCTCCCATGTTCTATTTTATCTTTACAATAGTTAATATTCTTAAATAATTTATATTTTTAATTATAATTTTTTAATATATATTTCAGAAATTAATCAATTATAATCTATTATTTGAAAAACTAATCAATAATTTAGAAAACTAATCGATTATAATTAATTATTTGAAAAAATTATCAAATGTGATCGATCATTTGAAAATCTAATCGATCAGAATCAAAAAATGTGGTTGTATATGATAGCGGTTCACTTGGAACCGCTATTATATGTTCACTTTTAAGAGCGGTGTAAATATTAACCGCTCTTAAAAGTGACAAATATTTTATTTATTTATTGACACATTTTTGCATCAGATATCGCTCGAGCGAGACCAGTGTCGCTCAAGCGAAATACAACCCGAGAATGTCAATTTTGTGCAGGTGGCGTCGCTCGAGCGATGTTACTTTCGCTTGAGCGAATGTTGACCTGCGTAAACGTCGATCAAAGTTAGCCGGATAATGTAACATGGGTGACCTCATATTTGAATCGGATGTCGCTCGAGCGAGAATAGTGTCGCTCAAGCGAAATACAACCCGAGAATGCCAATTTTGTGTAGGTGGCGTCGCTCGAGCGATGTTATTTTCGCTTGAGCGATATTGCAAAAATCAGATAAAATCATCGATTATTTTCTCATTAGCGACCGATTTTAATTCGGTCAGTATTTCAATTTGTAATTCGGTCGCTAAATCAGTCGCTAAATGATTTTTTTATTTATGTATGAAATAGCTACCGATTTAGCGACCGAAATTTTGTGACGCAAAATATTGGTCGCTATTTCGGTCGCTAAATAAAAAAGTGAAAACCAAATCATATTTTGGTCGCTAAATCGGTCGCTAATTGCGACCGAATTAAAGTGGTCGCTAAATCGGTCGTTAATTGCGACGGAATTAAAGTGGTCGCTAAATCGGTCTCTAATTGCGACCAAAATTAAATCGGTCGCTAATTGCGAAAGAAAAAATTTGGTCGCTAATTTTGGTGGCTAAATGTGTTTTTTCTTGTAGTGTTTTTTTTCTCAATTTTTTTATTTCTCCCTCTTATGCTTTCTCTCTTTGTCTTTATTCTCTCTTTCTTGATTGCGGATTTTTCTTACACGATCCATCAATTCTAAATACTATAGATTAGATCAAAATATACTCAACCTTACATAGTATTTACACTTTAAGCTTCTTAAAGTTATATATATATATATATATATATATATATATATATATATATATATATATATATATTTGTCTTGATAAATTTATACTCTTTTGTATATATTTTATTTATTTATTAGAGTAATATATGATTTTTTATTTTATGTTCCTATCATTTAATTTAGTTCTAATAATATACTAGTCCTTTATTTTATTTATTTTTATATTCTTCTTAAAATGATAGGAATTAAAAACGGTTCAAGAATCTACATAAAAGTGACCCTTCTTAAAATAATGAATTCCTGATTGATAATAATAGTTAAAGAACAATGAAAGGCTTTAGGGTTTGAAAATATAAAACAAACACTTACAACAAAAGAAAACAAATAAAAAAAGTAAATAAAATTTATTTTAATCATGAATACTAATAATAATACTTTCTTTTATTATTCTTTTACGTTATCATTATTTAAATTATTTTTAATTTTATTTTATGTTTCTATTACTTAAACTATTTCCGTAACATATTGGTCTATTTTTATTATTAATTTATTCATGTTTCTATTATTTAATTTAATTTTAGTTATATACTGGTCCATGTTCAATAGCTTATTTATTTTACTATGTTCCTATTATTTTATTAATCCAAGTAAAACATTTTTAATATTGGTTTAGATTGCATGTATAAATTATTTTAAATATTGAATAAGACAAGGTATGTAATGACTATTAAAACTTTAAATAGGTATCTCAATAATAATAATAATAAAATGTTAAACTCGAGAAGAATCCTAAGTTTCCTTGTGACGATTTAGGGTCATGTTGAAGCATGAATCTTGCGTTTTGGATGTTTGACTTTGGTATTACTGTGGGTGAGAGATAGGAACCATGGTGAGGTTTAAGGAAGTAATTAGTAAGTACATAAATATTGAGATTCTTTATTTGATCAAGATGATTCAATCCAAAAAAAAAATATTCAAAGAAACTCATATTTTGATTGCAAACTTTTTTTAATAAATACTTATACAACACTCTTTATTTTCTCTTTAATAATTTCATGTAACAGTCATGTCATTTATAAATACAATAAATAAGATATCTTGTTTTATTTAATTCAACTTAAGGTTTGATCTGAATTGGTTTGACGATATTAAAATATTGTAGTAAAACTTGTAAATCTTTCCTATCATGCTTATAAAAATTATTTTAATCTATAAAAAGAATTATTCAATTTGCGAATTTTTTCAATTCGGACACCATGTATTTTGGTGAGAGTTTCAAGTACACTATTTTAATATTTTTCATGTAAAAGGATATTTTTTATATTTAATTGTTTCAATGATTTGTCTAATTAGCTTACCGTGAAAGAAATAGAATTCAACAATATAAATTTTGACTTGAGGAGGAAATATTTTTTATAATCAAGACATATCAAGTTGGAAATATTCTTTTGTCAAAAAATTTGCTTTAAATTATTTTATTGTATTTTTTTATTTAATGGTGTAAATTTATTGATATTTTATGTTGGTGAAAAAACAATAACCATTTATGTTTCATTTTTTTATAGGGAATTCATATTCTCATTTATAACATTTTTCCATTATAAATAAGCTAAAATTTCTTGCAAAGAAAATAAAATTATTCATTAGTATCTTTCTTACTTTTTTATAAATTAACAAGAAAATTCAAGTTCTTAAGTTTAAAATTACTTTTAGCGAGACAATTTGGTAATTATAATAAATATTGATAATATCTCGTTGTTTAAATGATGTTTTATTCGTTTTCATATTTTCAAATTGGTAATTTTAGTTTTTAAGTCCGTTTTCATCTTTTTAATTTGTCAATTTGGATTAAGGAGAGATAATTCACCTATTTTAAAAAAATATTTATATATTAAAATTTAAATAAAAATTATAATTAAAAATATCAAATTTTTATGTAATGTTATTGAATTATATAAATATATTATAATTTAAATTATAAATATTAACTAATTAAATTTAAATTATTAATTATAATTTGATATTTTAATATAAATATAGTAATTTTTTAATTTATCTAATAAATATTAATTAATTAAAAAAAATTAAAATTATTTATATAATTAAAGGTATATTTAAAAAAATATATTTAAAATTTTTAATATAAAAACAAAAATTAGACAAGCTGATCTGCTAACTTGTCAGTCTATTTTTTTAGCCGAACTAGTATTTCTAAGTCTGTTCTAACTATGACATATCAACTCATCTTGTTCAAATTTTGGTAAATTAGAAGTGAGACAAATTAGAATAGGATAAATTTACCTATTTTGTCATTCATAATTCAAAGAATCCTATATAGCGTTATAAATTGCTTAAATGTTATTTTTTACCAGTTGTTTCATTAATCAACTTAAAAAAAACAAAACAAATAAATGAAGAGAAATAATAAAAAAGAGAATGTATTTTTTAAAATTTATTAAAAAATTTATATTAAAATAAAATTGATAAATTACTTAAGTTTATCTCTAATTTATGAGAGTAACTTATATGACGAGATATTTCTTATCTTAAAAAATATAAAATATAAATTTGTTATACAACATTATTTTTAAACAAACTCATAATTAATTTTACTCTAATAATTTTTTTAATAAATTAAAAAAATCTCTTTGTTTATTTATTTTATTTTGTTTACTTTTTATAAATTATTTAATAAAATAATTATAAAAATAATAATTAACTTAACGTATCATAGATTTTTCCTGGTTGAAACAATTAATATTGTATTTAAATATTTTATCAAAAAAATTTCAATAAAATATTTTAATGTGATATAATAAATTTATATTTTATAATTTTAAAATAAAAAATAATTTATACGAGTAATTCAAGAAGAACTTTAAGAGTTTATTATCGATAATATAGGTGAATTTTTTATATTTATTTTGAAAATTAATTTGTATATTCACTACTGAATTAATAAAATATTATACATAAATTCGTTAAAGTTAAAACTGTGTTTTATATTTGTCAAAAGACAAAGAAGAAAAAGTTGTTGACATTGCCTTTGCTCAGGACTGTGTGAGTGAGATGGAGTATGTTTCTGGTTTTGGTGCGTGCAACTCCTTCATCCGAAGGAGAAGCATCCGGAGTGCACGTGTGACCGACCCGCATGCATTAAAAAGCGCGCACACGTGGCTTGTGCTTTGGGCAAAGAACCTTCGTAAAAAGTGAAGCAATCAATAGCATTGGATTAGATAAAATGTTTCTAATCTGGACGGTGCTAGATTAAGCATGATACGTTTAAGGCAGAACCCGATACTTGCCCCATCTCTTCACACATGGCCCCCCTTGTCCCCCTCCTCCACCACCCATCATCACACTTCATAACGCATTTTATAGTCCTCCCTGTGACACCCTTTTCTCTCTTATCCCTTTTCTCGCTTCATTGCTTCATCTTATCTTTGTTCTTGTCCTTCACTCACAATCTCACACGTCAAACAGATTAATTACCATTCACAAACACCAATATTATGGCCAAGTTGTGGACCTTGTTCAGCCAGCTTCATTCTGTTGCTGGGTATATTTCGTCCCTGCCATTCATTCTTCTTTATCGTAAACTACTATTCATAACTTTGTTTTTATTTTCTTTTCAGGCCGGTTGTGACGTTGTTATACCCTTTGTAAGTATCCACACTGATTTTCACCACCTTCAGTAACTAAAAAGTTTTCTTCTATTCAGTACTTTAGTTATAGAAATTAAGACATGAAAATAATATAACTGTTACTATTTACAGGTATGCATCGGTGGTAGCAATAGAGAGCCAATCCAAGTTCGATGACGAACAATGGCTAGCTTATTGGATCATTTATTCGTTCCTCACCCTTGCAGAAATGGTTCTTCGTCCTGTTTTAGAGTGGTGAGTTTAAACTCATGGAAGTTAATTATGTGGTGGAGTTAGTAATGATTGAAAACATATTGAGATTTGCAGGATACCAATTTGGTACGATGTGAAGCTATTGACAGCAGCATGGCTGGTGTTGCCACAGTTCGAAGGAGCTTCGTACTTGTATGACAGGTTCATGAGAGATTATGTAAGGAAATACATAACGGAGAGGGACCATCTCCAATATCACGCACAAAGCAAAAGGTCCCCCAACGAGAACCAGGCCAAGAAGAAATTCGTCGAGTTCGTCACGCACAAGAAAGTGAGTTAGTTACCTGAAAACTTGTTCTTTTCATTTCATCTCATTGAAGAATAGAAAATTCAAAGAATTTGTTAGATGGGGTTTCGACATATCAAAGTTTAATGTAAACTGTGGTTGTGATTTTTCCGTGACTGCAACAGGGGGATCAGGAGGCGTATTGAGTCTGGAAATGCTGAGAACTGTGTCGAGTTTTTCATCTGAGGATCTTTCATTGGTCGTCGAATAAACTTTCCTTTAAATTTAGCAAAATACTTTTAATTTATGTTTTAATTTTGTGTATATATGTTGTGGATCTCTTTCGTGTCCACCTCCTTGTTAATTGCATCATCGTCATATATATCTCATGTGGTGTGTGTAAAGTGATTTCTTTCTTGAGCCTCGTTGCACATGCATGCATGGTATTCTTAGCCTAATACGAAAGTAAAATCAAATTCCATTCTCGGGTTGGAGCCATAATCCAAACTCAAAAAGTATTCTCTCTCATACACACGTGTGGGGAAGGAAAGGAAAGATCAATAATAGAACGAATACAGATTTTATAGTAACCTTTCATCCTTATTTTTTGCGTTTAGGTTATGTTTGACGACACAGTTTCTGAGCTATGGTAAAAATTAAGAATTTTGCTCGTGCCCGTATAAGAATAAAGTTAAACTCAAAAAGTATGTCAAAATGGCAATCTAAATTTCACTAAAAAAAGGCTTGATATGACTAAATATATGTGGTAGAAATAAATAAAGGAAGAAAAAAAAATGAGAAATGAAAATATATAAATTTGATTAGTTATTTTTATTTTATTGTTAAATTAAATAATTTATAACAACATGTCCTGGCCTAAAATGTATAAATTCATATTTGGATGTCACAAACCTAAATCTCAAATTATAAGTGTAGGCTTAGGTGTTAGCAAATTTTGGCTACAATTTTTTTATTTAGGTTAAATTCAGGCATTGCAGGTAGTTTTATGACCTGAGAAAATTTGCATTTTTTTTTAATTACAATGGTATGGTTCAATATAAATTGAATCTTTATGAATTGTCTTTAGTTTATTACATTTGAATATTTGATAAAAAAAATAAAAAGGATTAACAACTTTTGCGTAACCTAATGCAATTTGGGCCAAGCCCAATAAAGAGACAACACGTACCCTTATGTTTTTTTGTGCTCATAGTTTAGTTGAAAATCGTATGTCCAGATACAAAGATATTTTAAAAGACGAATAGAAAACCCAAATTGCAAAATAAAATGTTTGTTACATTTTTAAATAAATAAAAGTCATGTTTGGATGTTAGATTTTTGGCATACTTGGATCATCTTCTCTTCTCCATTAGAAAAAGGTTGTTTACTGTGAACATAATAGTAAAATTTTTCTATTTTCTGTAATGTCGTGTTATTCAATTCAGCAAATTTTGGTTTTATAACAATACAATCAGACAAAAAAAACTGTGTATCCTCTAATTTCATGTACAAAATAGTGGGTGATGGGCTAAAATCATGGTTAAATTTTATAAATAATAGGTCAACAATACTGACCGTGAATCAGAGAATGCATCGTATTTATTAAAAAGAAAAACTTAAAGTCTAATTGTTAATTTGGTCTCTCATAAACTAGTTGCAAGAGCATTTAGTTTAATTTTAAAGCTTCAAACATGGTTAACATATTTAGTAGTTTTAAAAATTGCCCAAATTTGAGTAGCTTGGTCATTTTCATTACTAACTTCAGTATGTGTGCTGCAACAACTTAATAGTTCCATCTTTCATTAAGTGTGTTAATATGTTTACTTCTCTTATTAACAGTGGAGTCTTAGATAATTATATAATTGAATTATTTTATATAGAATTAATATTTTTTCTCTTCTTCTTTTAAGACTTAACTTCTCTTAGATCCTTTGAATTCAAATACATTGCAACAACTTAATAGTTCCATAAGTGTGTTAATATGTTTACTTCTCTTATCAACATTGGAGTCTTAGATAATTATATAGTTGAATTATTTTATATAGAATCAATATGTTTTTCTGTTCTTTTAGGACTTAACTTCTCTTAGACCCTTTGAATTCAAATATATTGGCATGCACAAAAAACAACATCTATATATTAGATGCTCGGCTTAAACGATGGACAATGTTATTATTAGTTGTTTGTTTGAAGATCATGAAATTATTCTAAAACCAAGTAAAAATACAAACCTACAAGTACTTTTTCGATAATTTATATCTCCAATAAAATCACTCTTGGAGTATGCTACGATATTTATGTTGTCCCTTTCTTGTAGTATATGTTTAGTTCAATTGTTTCTTTCAAGTACCACTACAAGAAAAAACACATTTAGCGACCGAAATTAGTGACCGAATTTTTTTTGTCGCAATTAGCGACCGATTTAATTCGGTCGCAATTAGCAACCGATTTAGTAACCGCATTAATTTGATCGCAATTAGTGACCAATTTAGCGACCGAGTTAATTCAGTCGCAATTTAGCGACCGATTTAGCCATCAAAATATGATTTGGTTTAACTTTTTTTATTTAGCGACCGAAATAGCGACCAATAGTTTGCGTCGCAAAATTTCGATTTCTAAATCGGTGGTTATTTCATACTAAAATAAAAAAATCATTTAGCGACTAATTTAACGACCGAATTATAAATTAAAATAGTGACCGAATTGAAATCGGTCGCTAATGAGAAAATAGCGACCGAATTGAAATCGGTCGCTAATGAATATTATTTTTTTATTATATTTAAATTTATTTTTTTATAAATATACTTTAATTGTTTTAGTATATTTTTTACAATTTATTTTTTAAAAATAATTTATTTTTTAAAAATAATTTAATTTTTAAAATATACTTTAAAAATAAACTTTGGTCTCAATATTAACAAAATGAAGATTAACTTTAATTTTAAATTAATAAAACAAAAATATTATTAAAAATAAATCAAATTTATTAAAAATTTAAATTGTAATAAATTAAGACGAGTGATATTAACTATTCAATACATTGTTTAAAAAAAGTTTAATAATAAATATTCTTTAATTTATTTTTCAATTGAAAATTTCAATTGTAATTAAATTATATTTTAAAAATTTTTATATTAAAAAAATTAAACACATCAAATTATCACATTTTAATTCTTCATTAACTTAATTAATTAAAAATTACAATTTTAATCAAATTATTACAATTTTATTTTATAATACTTTATTTTTAATCTAATTTTTAAATTTATTGATTTATTATTATTAATTACTTAACCATGGTTGTTGTCATATAATTGATATACCAAAAAAAAATTATATCAATATACATTAGATAATAAATATGTTATTTAATTAAATTATTTATAAAAATATATTTATCTTTAGTTAAAATATTTTTTAGTTTAAGTATACTAATTAATATTTTTCATTTTTAACATAATTAATAACAAAGATTAAAAATAGACTGTTAGAAAAGTTAAAAATTTAAAATTAATCTATTTTATAAATACTAAAAATAAACTATATTTAAATAAATTAAAAATATATTTAAATTTATATTCAACATACCTCCAATTTTGCTCAATAAATTTATAGATCACATTTGGAAACTTCATCACTTAAATAACTTCAAAATTATTAACCTTTTTTTTTTCAAAGCCAAGTTTTTCTTGTCAGTTCTTTCACAAACAAATAGTTAATATAAGTTAATGTTGTGTCTTTTTAAAATTTCATTTTTTTTATATATTGAATTTTCATAAAAATATTTCTAAAATTGCATAAGAAAACAGAGATTTAATTATATTTTTAATAAATTTAAGATAATACTAGTTTTTTTTTAATATTTATTTTAATTTTTTAAAACAGAGAAACTATCATTTTAGTTTCTAAATACTAAATTTAAAGAACTAAATTTATTATTATTTAATATTTTAATTTTAGTATTAAAAATTTAAATTATATTTTATTAAATTAAAATAATTACAATATATTTTTCTACTTTGAGAATTTAAAATATAATTAAACTAAAACTGAAAATATTATAATACATTTTTGAACTCTTTTTTATAATATTTTTATCATTATTATATTTTTGGATTAATTGTTTTTTCCTAATTTTTTATAAAGTCAATTTTAATATTTAAAAGTATTTAACATTTTGAATTCTGAAACTTTTTCTCTATTAGCAAATTTAAAAACATAATATACTAAAAAAGTATTATACATAATTATTTCATCCAAATTTTTAATAATATGATAAGTCATCAAATTCGTATATAAAACAAATTTAATGATGAATTAAAATAGAACAACACTTATAAGAGACTATTTATTTTTATTTATGATGGATCAAAAGTAAAAATACATTTAAATTTATAATTTTATTTATGAAACACATTTAAATTTATAATTAACGAAAATAATGAAAATCTTAATATAATATGATACTTTTAGTAATGTATTTTTTTATAAATTTTTATAAGAAAATAAAAAATTATTAATAAATAAATAATATTATAAAGTATTCTATAAAAGAAGACTAATTATTATAAAGATAAAATAGAATATGGGAGGAAATGAGGATGATAATATAGTAAAAATGATAGAGTTTAAAAACAATGTATAATTTGAGAAGTTTAAAAAGAAAAAAAAAGTTAAAAAAGGATATATATATATATATATATATATAAATATATAAATATATTAATATATAAATATATTAATATATAAATATATAAATATGAATATATAAATATGTAAATATATCAATATTTAAATATATATTAAAATATATAAATATATTTGTATTTATAGATTTTATAAATATATAAATAAATATATATATATATATATAAAGATATAAATATATAAAGATATAAATATATAAATATGTAAAGATATAAATATATTTAAAGATATAAATATATAAATATGTAAAGATATAATATATCTTTAACATTTTGTACATGTAAATATAATTTATATATACTTTTAAATCTTTTTCTATTATTTATTTTTAAAAATATAATATTATTTTTAAAAATAAAAATATATATACTGTGTAAATATATAAATATAAAATATATAAATACAAATACAAATATATATATATATATATATATATATATATATATATATGTGTGTGTGTTGGATGTGAGGGTGCGCTCGAGGGTGAAAGTGTGTGTCG